GAAGTATGTCTTCTCTGTCATGGCACGTGCCCTCTGGAAGAAGATCCCCCCAAAGATCCATGCAGCTCTTACCCTAATCATATCTACCCTAATGCATATCTTTAAAAAATGACTGTTCTCCCAGAGTGGCCATAGAGTGGCTGTGAAGCCCCGTCAATGGCCTTTTTTTTTTTTTTAGTATATGGGTTATTGTTGTCTGGATGCTTTGGATTATTCCCCTATTGTTTTTCTACTTTTAAACTGTAGGTAGGCATTCTGAAGGTAGGCAGGCAGCCTTCAAATCTCATGAATAAATAAATAAGCAATAAATAAATAAATAAATGCATGTAAAGAATGGGTGGGGCTTCAATTGTGCATTCATGGCTGCCTTTTTGGACCTCTCTGTGCAGATGCCCTATTAGCAGCCTATCATCTATAAGGATTATTCATATTTCAATGAATAGAAACCACTGGGGACACACAAGTTAAATTATGACAGTATCATCATCATCATCATCATCATCATCATCATCATGGGAGGATTTTTATCATCAGTGGGGTTATTATTTTGTGATTTATTTAAATTTATTGGCCACCCAACTCCAGTGGACTCTGGGTGGCGTACAAAATGAGGAAAAACATAAAAGCAGCTAAAAACAGGTGAACAGGTAAAGGTGAAAGTCATGCATAGAAAGAAACTGAATCCTGCCTTTAACTTCAGAAATATGGGGTGACTGGAGGAGAAGGTAAAATGAGATGAATAAACTGCAATACAGTACCGAGGTTTGAAAGGCTGATAATGATTTTCTTTCATAGTAATATCAGCTGTTGTGATTGTTCTGAAAATATTAGATTGTAGCATATTTATAAACCTGCTTTATTCTAAGTGGGTCTCCTGAGCAAATGCTTCCCAGTCGTGGATCCTTAGATGCTTTGTCCTCCCAAAAGGAACAGCTGGCCTGGTATCACTCACCACGCAGTTGCGCTGATGATAATGGAGCATTAATGATAATGCTCCAATTTCAGCCTCTAATATTAAATTACCAGCCTAGGTGATAGGAAAATCAAGAGGTTAATCCTGTGCAGTTCCACACTACACTCTGTAGGACAAAAGAGGAAACGAAAACAACTGTGCTCCCTGATGTATTTATTGGATTATTGCAAAACAATTATCCGGCATGACAGATACGCTTGCATTCATTTCATTCAATAGCACTAAATTAGAAGGCTTTAAACTGGGTTGATTGTGCTACAATTAAGGTGAGTCAGTACCTTTTCTGAAATGAACTTATGTTCAAAATATTGAATGCCAACCTGTCAGTTACACAGAACTCTTCTTTTATACAGACAGTGATTGATCACAGTGGGAAAATCTAGCACATGCAGTCACTTTGTCTCTCTGCAATTGATGTACTTCAAAGGTATATTACCTTTCAGCTGGATTGGGTGAGAAACGATACTCAAAATCCCCTGAAAGGCATATTTGGAATTTTGAGAGCACGTCATGGCCCTTCTCACAAAACAGATGCTGTTGTTGGTGTGGCCAATCGCAAGAATCTTGGATTATGCAGTAATTACTTTATTTTCTAAGAACATCCCTAGGATTGATGAAGCCACAGGTTATGCCTGAAGCGGTGGTGTTACTCTCCTTTGCAGCATGCTAGCTTCTCATTCTTTCCTTTGCTCGTTAAAGAATCTAAAAAAATAAAATTAGGCCAGACATTGTTCCCCTATCATTAAATGGGGCTTGGTTTCATGGCCAGGGCATACAATGAACTATCTTAAAACTGTGGACCAATTTATGCTGGACTGCAGCCTTGCTGTTTAGCAGAAGCTGAGATGATGGACTTGCACAATTATTGTCCTATTCCTTACTGTTTTAATTGGAAACAGGAATATGATTAATTTCAGAGGCTCTTCTGTTTCCTACTATTATATGCCTTCCTCATGAAACAATAATCAACTTAAAAAATTCAAGCCAGTTCCAAAAAAACCAGTTATGCAATCCTTTCTCCTCCCTGTAGACCAAATCTTGATGGTCTTCTAGAAACAAACATGCACAGGTAGAATATCTTCAGGCTGTTAACTTACTTACCTCAACTCCTTGCTTCAATTCTTCTCCTCCTTTTCATTGTTCAAAACAGGGGAAGAATTGTTTGAAGAGTTAGCAACTGTCAAAACTGAATCTTTCTCCATATTAGGGAATTTATGCTGGGCACAGGCTGGTATAAGTCAGGCATCTGTCATAATGCATCCTGGGAAATGTAGTTCCCAGCTAAGGACTTTTCTGGTCTCTTTTTAAGCACTGATTTATTTGCTGAAGTTCAGGATTGAGCTGAGTACTGAATCGGAGTCAGAAGATTGTATGCTGCGGCTGAAGCTTAGATTCATTACTGTGCAGCAAAAGTTCTGAATTCCTGATGTTATCAATATCCCTTAAATTCCTTCTTTGGAAAAAGATGTGGCCTTTATCATTTTGAAATAAAACCAAGTAAAAGAGAAATCGCCTCCCCTATGCCACATGATGTGTTTGTCTCCCATCTCAGATTAGCTGGCTCCTGCTAAACAATTAGGAAAATGTTGATCAATGCTGCTTCTCCAAGCAAAACGTAGTCCTGATAGTATTTTGCTAAGATCTTCTTGACCCTGTCGCTCAGCTGGCTTGTGTAGAGAGAACCATAAAGATGACCTTGGAGAAATGAGGCCACAGCAGTTAGCAAAACATGACTTAAGTCCAAGACGGGAAGCAAGTATTAGAAACAAACTCAAAGTACAGTAACTCCACCTTAATGTCTTGAGTATTAGAGGGAGGGAGGGAGGGAAAAATGCTGTCAGCCTTTCAAGATTCTGTTACGATAGCCTGTATCTATGAAGTTGAGTTCCACTATTCCTTGTGGAGTCCTTTTCCTGACCTGGCCCACCTTGAAAGGCTGACATCAGTCTTGAAGCCCCACAGTATTTTCCCTCCCTCTTCTACTCAAGAGAGTTAGGGCAGAGCTAGTTTGAGTATCTTTCTACTATTTTCTTCCTATCCTGGGCTTAAATCAAGTTTTGCTAACTGTAGTCACATAGTTTCTCCAAAATCATCTCTGTGGTTCTCTGCATCTGTGTATAAGCTGAGATCCTAAAGTAATGGATTTGAGGAAAGGAAAGTTGTCTTACCCCCCTCTTTGAAGTCCCTAACACTCTTGAGTTGTGTTCATATAACATCAGGGTATACTGAATTTATAGGTCCAGTTGTACAACATAGACTTGATTATGTGCCATGTAGTTGTTTTTGACTCCTAGCAACCACATAGATCAATGTTCTCCATGACCTTGTCTTTCAGGTCTTCCATCCGTGTACCCATCACCATTGTAACTCAGTCCATCCACCTTGCTGCTGATCGTCCTTTTCTCTTTTCTTCCACCTTTCCCAACATTAGAGCCTTTTCCAGAGAGCTGGGTCTTCACATAATGTGTCCAAAGTAGGATTTAGGCTAGTGTGTTGTGGAAATCCACCATATATGATCCAGGAATATTATTGATTGTAGCATGTGTTATTTTGTCAAGTCTTATTTTCATATTTAAATTAGTCTTAAACTCAATGCAATGCATGGTTGGAGTGACACCTTGTGACTAGAAAGAAGAAATACATCTTCTACTCATTGTAGGAGAACAGCATGAGCCTACGGTAGCCAAAAATCAGGAGTCTGGAAGCATCTTTTCAGACTAACAAATCCTATTGAAAGGCATAAACTTTCATGAGCTAGAGCTCACTTCATGCAGTGATGCGGAGTGGCTAGACATCTTACATTGGTCTAAAAACTTCATTGTATGTTTGTCTGGTTCTTTCAGCCTTTAAGGAAAGAGAGAACAGGTGACCTCAGATATATTAGACTTCAACTCCCATAATCCCCAATCAGCATGGCCCCAAAATCTCAGTGGTAGATTCTTTTCCATAATCCCTGTGGGTGGTCCCCACCCCACCCCACCCCAGGTCCCAAAGGTATTTTAGTACAAAGTGACCTAAACCAGTGTTTCTCAACCTTGGCAACTTTAAGATGCGTGGACTTCAACTCCCAGAATTCCCTAGCCAGCATGCTGGCTAGGGAATTCTGG